AACATATATAAAATAAAATAGAACAAGTCACAACTTCAACATGCTTGTTAACTTGTTTAGGAATGAATTCAGTTGTATTATAGATTGCCATCCTATATAATCTCATAAATAGACAACAATCAACTCACATAATTAAGTCGCGACACTTCATTAAATATTTAACAGTAAGAACAATTAAACAACAAGAACACTTATAATACGATTAACAACAATGTTTATATTTGAGTAAGAAATTAGAATGGACTTTGGAGGTGGAGGGTTAGGGTTTGATAATTAATTAATTATATATATTTGGAATTATATTGTAAATATAAAAATATATTAGATATAAAATAGAATATATACTAACTTAATATTACAAATAAATTATATATATATATATATATATATATATATATATATATATATATATATATATATATATATATATATGTGTGTGTGTGTGTGTGTGTGTGTGTGTGTGTGTGTGTGTGTGTGTGTGTGTTTGTGTAAATAGCCTAGGCCTGTAGACCTGAAGACCGAGCTTGGTATAAATCAATCATTATTGCATGGACCATATTCCATACAATTGTGTGGACCATAAATAAAAAGTACATTTTTAATGTACTAAGGGTACATTACTTTATATAATGTACTTTCAGTACAAAAATAATGTACCTTCATGTATTTTTAATATATTAAAAATGTACCTGATATTTATGGTCTATACAATTGGTCCACACAATAATTTACCGATATAAATAGGTCTGGCATGTTTAGTTTAATAGGCTTCAAAATGAGTCCAAATTTGACCTTTTTACTAAACAAGTCAGGCATATAAAGGCCTTAAATAAGCCGGACCTTAGCCTCTTACGCAGGGTCTGGCCTATTCCCACCCCTAATTTATTGTTTTTTTACTTCTTTTAATATAGTTTTTTCGAGGCTTTTACACTTGTGCCCCTAAGTATGGTACAACTTGCGCTCTTGTACTTGGGGGGTACTATCGGTGATTAAGCGTCTCTTTCTTTTTTTTTTTTTTTTTTTTATTTTTTTGAAAAGAGTCTCTTGCTTTTTAAAACCTTTTGGGGGTCGTTTACTTCATTTTTCTGTTTTTCCATTTCCAGTTTTCCATTTCTCCAATTCTCCAGTTTTCCTTCTCCATTCCTCCAGTTTTTCATTTCTCCAATTTTCTAATTTTCATTCTCCATTCCTTCAGTTTTTCATTTCTCTCATTTTTTGATTTAGAATAATAATATTATTATTATGTAAAAAAAATCGTCGGTGGTTATTTAAAGTGTATGACTACGTAAAAAAAATTAATTAAGGTATGTGCGACGGTTATTTAAAAGCATGTTGTCTATTAAATGACGTAGTATAACAAAATATATAAGATGGTGGTTATTTTAAAAACATCCGTCTATTAATAACTTAGGGACGAAAAATGCAATTTTTCCTAATAATAATAATAATAATAATAATAATAATAATAATAATAATAATAATAATAATCAAAGTAGTAATAATAATAGTACTCAAAAAAAAAAAAATAATCAAAGAAATTAAAGAAGAAGAGAAAGAAAAAATGCAATTTTTCATAATAATAATAATAATAATAATAATAATAATAATAATAATAATAATAATAATAATAATAATAATAATAATAATAATAATAATAATAATAATAATAATAATAATAATAATAATAATAATCATCAAAAAAAATAATAATAATAATCAAAGAAATTAAAGAAGAAGAGAAAGAAAAGTAGTGACAAGTGTGTATTAATAATGAATTAAAGAAGAAGAGCCTCAGCCCTCACTCAGGCGCTACCCGTTGATAAAGGAAAACACACTCCAACAGGATTTGAAACCAAGACCCCAAGGTCAAGAGACAGTGTTCACCCGCTATTTCCATTCCTCCATTTGGAGATGTTTGTTTTAATTCTCTCCAAATTCTCCAAATTCCTTAAGGAATTTGGAGAATGGAAATAGAATATGGATTTGGAGGAGTACCATTTTCCATTTTTCCACTTCTCTAATTCTCTATTTTTTTGGAAAATCCTCCAATTTTCCATTTTAGTAAACAACCCCTTACTTTCGCTAGTACTATCAGTTGGAGTATCAAAGTTTAGCTTTTTTTATGGATTTCAATTGTTATGTGATGGATTTATGATTATTTGAGCTTTGAGTTATGTTTTAAAATAAAAAAAAAATAAATCTAAGTACAGTACACTTTCGCATTTTTGCAAGTATAATCTTTTAATACTAAATGGATAAAATATTAATACTAAATGTGAAAACCTAAATTTTTTTTAAAAAATGTAAATTTTAGTGTTAAGTTTGCATAGTAAAGTTCGTGATAATTATGAAAATGCGCATTTTTTAAAAAATCTGATCTAGCCCATTAAAATTTTCGAAATGCAAGATTAACATTGATTCTTATATATATATATATATATATATATATATATATATATAGGGAAGGGTTCAGGTGCGGTTGATGCTTCCCGTGTGGTTGGACGCACCTTAAGCATTAACATGGCGCACCTTAAGTACACAAATCACCACGCACCTTAAGTTCACAAACAAAACATCTTAAGAACACAAATCACTCACCTTAAGTACAAAAATCACGCACATTAAGCACAGAATAAAGCACATTGAGCACAAAACTCACACACTTAAGATTTTAAAATGTCTCACATTAAGCACAAACTCACGCACATTAAGTACAAAACTCACGCACATTAAGCACAAGTCATAATGCACATTAAGCATTAAACTGAGTTCTCTGGCTCCGCCCATGTCCCCTACCCCCCATGAGTAGGAATGGCAATAGGGCGGGGTGGGTGCGGGGGACATATCCCCCACCCCCGCACCCGCATTTCCAACCCACTCCCCGCACACCCGCACCCGCATCCGCGCGGGTAATGAAAATCCTACCCCATACCTGTCCCCGCGGGATTTTGCGGGTGCCGGTAATACCCAACCCGCAACTCTAATTATTTATGTTATCACATTGATTTAAAATCTAATAAAAATCTTATACTACAACTGTAATTATCACATTGATTTTTTTATAAGTTTGAACATAACTCTAAAATTTAATAAGAGCCAATGAAGTTAGTTCTTAATTGGAACTAAAATTGTGTTGATAGTATAAATTGTATTAAGTGTTTACTCATTATGTTATTTGTGTTGTTCCTATTCAAATTTCATAAACAAAAAACTAAGAAGTTTAATTCATTATGCATTTTCAATTATAAAATATACATAAACTTATATAATAAATGAATACTAATAACAATATATATAAGTGCGGGTGCGGGTGCGGGGCGGGGATACCTCCCCCCGCACCCGCCCCCATACCCGCGCGGGTATATAAATTTCCCCATACCCGCACCCATTATCCAAATTGTGAGGGTACTTTAAAACCCGTAGGGGCGGGCATGCGGGGAACCCGTTGGGTGCGGGTAGAATTGCCATCTCTACCCATGAGTAGCTCCGAGACCTCTGGCTCTACCCATGTCCGTAGGGTCGAAGCCAATATGGGGGCAGTGGGAGCAACTGTCTCCCACCCCCCCCCCCACCCCCACCCCCACCCCCACCCTTTCATTACCAACACTTTTTTTTTTCTATCTTCTATCATTTATTTTATCTCTTTCATATCTTCACAAGATAAATTAAATATTTTTTTAGTCTATTTTTTATGAATCATTTAATTAATAATTTAAATTCTCTTTTAGTCTATTTTTTATGAATCATTTAATTAATATAGTATACAAGTTTATATTATATTTTATTGTATTCGAATTAATTTAGAAATAAAAGTGATATAACTAAAAGAAATTAAAATTAAAATGTATTTATGAATATAATGTTATTCAAATTATTTTATCTAATTGATTATGTTTTATATTTTATAATGTATAATGTATTTTGTATTTTAACCTTATTATGTCTATTTGATATTTTGTCATTAATATTTCTAACGTCATTTAATATTCATCTCTACTCAGCTAATTTTTTGAATTCGTCCATGCATACCCGTAATTATTGATAACTTATGTTACTTCATAAAATAAATATAACTCTTTCAAATTCAAAATTTATCTCATATATTTGGAATAAGGTTCAAATTGGCCATTGAACGTAACTTGAAAATTCAATTAGACCACTGAACGAAAAAAAAAAAAAAAAAGTGCAATTAGGCCACTGAACACTCCAAAAATGTACAATTTCACCTAATAGCAGGTTACCCTCAATTTTAGCAGGTTATCTGCTTACGTGGCAGCTGGGTTGACATTTTGTATAACTTTTAAATAAATTTTTATAAATTTTAATAATAAATTTTTATTAATTTTTTTTTAAAAAAATAAAAACGACTTTATTTTAATTTTATTTATTTTTTTTCAAATTTTTTATAAAATTTATTATTAAAATTAATTATTAAAAATTATTTAAAATTATTAAAAATGCCAACTCAGCTGCCACGTAAGCAGGTAACCTGCTAAAATTGATGGTAACCTGCTATCCGGTGAAATTGCATACATTTGAAGAGTTCAGTGGCCTAATTGCACATTTTTTGAGTGTTCAATGGCCTAATTGCACTTTGTTTTCGTTCAGTGGTCTAACTGCATTTTCAAATTACGTTCACTGGCCAATTTGAATCTTATTCCCATATTTTAATTAAAAATCTAAGCTAATAATTATCTCGGTAACGTTTTCCAACAAGCGTCAAAACTTAAAACCTTTGAAAACAATAGTCCATTGTCCACAGTTTTTTGGTGTAGAGCGAAACCAACGTTTTCTGGGGAAAGTGGGAAACGTCATTATCTTCCGTAGTTCCGTCTATTTTTCATTTGTTTATTTCCAGATTATTTCACAGTCCGTTTTCCACTTTCCCCCTTTGCCCCACCCCACTCTGAAAGTGAAAGCCATACGTCCAACCCCACTTTCAACTTTGCAAATTAATAAAATAGTAATAATACTATGGAAAAGACAGGAATGAGTATGTTTTTCAAGCTTTTAGGCTGGAGGCTGAGACTCTGAGACCCACAATTTTCCCCCCTTCTAACGTTCTTAGATACCCACAGCTCACTTGTATAGTTGTATACGGTGGGTGGTACATCAGCTTTGCCTGAATCTTGCTTTTATCATTCACTGAAGATGATGGCAAAGCTGTGAGCTTTTTCCTCTGATTGAATCCAAATCATAAGGTCTTTGCTTTTGGAAATCTTGGGTTTTTCTTGTTTCCAAATTCCTGAGAATGGGTTCATCAGATCGGCTGTTTAACAGACAGAGGAGTGTTCATCAGATCCTTGGAGGAGGTCTTGGTGAGTCTGCTCATCAGCTTCAATGCTTTTGATTTTGGGTTTTGGATCAAAAAATTTGGCTAAAACTGTTAACAATGTACTCACTCAATCAACAACTTTGCTTCAATCTTGTTTTCTTCAAGGAATCTGATCTTTTTTATTTGTTAGGCAAATATAATTGAATTCTTATTACTTTCATTGTGCAGAAAAAAGAAAAAAAAATCTTGTTTGGGGGTCAATTTTCCTGCATATTTCAGCAAAAAGTAGCTGCTAGTTTTGTTTGTTTGATTTGAATGGAGAGAAATGATTGATGTTTATGATTTTTCTTGAAAAACAGTTGCAGATGTGATACTGTGGAGGATTAAAAATGTGACAGTTGGGATCCTAGTAATTACATTGTTTGCTTGGATTGTGTTTGAGAGATCAGGCTATACTCTTTTATCCTTAACCTCAAGTGTTTTGTTGCTCCTGCTTGGTATTCTTTTTCTATGGGCAAAATCAGCTGCTCTTCTAAACAGGTGACATTGCAATTTTCTTGATGTTTGTGGTTTCTTTTTTTGCAATTAATGTTAGAAAACTACACAGTGGGTTAATTCACACTCTCAATAGATTTGAGCCATAATTTTAACTTTGGATTCCACCAGAAGTTCATTAGTTCATTTTAGTTTTGGTTTGATTTCTTTTCCTCTTGTTTTGTAACTGAAATACGAAATGTTGTGAACACTATACGACTTGAATATAATGTGGCTATTCTGATTATGTTCTTAATGTGTTGCAATAGACCTGCACCACCTTTACCGCATTTGTATCTCTCGGAAGAAAGAGTTAATGAAGCAGCAGTATTCATCCGTGATCACATTAACACGTTGCTCTCTGCATTTGAGGATATTGCATTGGGTCGGGACACCGAGTTATTTGTTAAAGTAGGTGCAGGTCTGTTGCTGGTTTCTGTCATTGGCGGCCTCACGGATTTTCTGACTTTGGGTTACACTGGTAAGCTAAGCTTCAAAAACTCATATTTCTGATTGAATTTTTAGTTCCCAGTTCCGTTTTTACATGCATACTATGGTTCCAAGCAACACGTGGACCGTAGTCGCTTATCGGGTGACGTAGAGATTCGAACCCATGACCTGGCTCTGATACCAAATTGAAGCATGTGCTTCATCTCAACTAAAAGCCTAAGCTGATAGTTGATGGTTATATGCTCAACACTCCCGGGGGCATAGCTCAGTGGTCGAAAGGTTGAGTGTGGGTGTAGTGACCCAGCAAATACCCGGGTTTGAGTCCTCAATATAGGAGGATCTCAGCACTCAGACCTTGCATCATTGAAGCAGATCCTGCGATTTACCTCGTCCCACAATCCCCAGGGCGGGGGTGAGGGGCCCTCGGGTTAAGGGTTTAAACCTATGCATACTATATTCTTTGCCTCTTTGGTGGCAGGCCTGTTGATTGTTCTCACAGTACCTGTACTTTATGAGAAGTATGAAGAGCATATAGACAGATATGTGGTGATGACATACAGGAAATTGCGGGATTTGTATTTAAGATTTGATGCAGAATGTATTTGCAAGACTCGGAACTGGATTGCAGAGAAGAAGAAATTAGACTGATCTCTTCAGCTGTCTCTACTTGACATCTTTTTTTCCTTTTTCTTTTCAATTTTGAGGAGTTTTTTTCCCATCCTCTTTCATTTTGTTTCTTTGATATATCCTTAGTGAGTAGAGGCATGATCATCTGTCAATTTGTACAAGTTTGTAGATGTATAAGGATGTGTTTCAAATGCACTGCACTGGCACCTGGATTTTCAAGCAAAATGGTATGTATAAACACATAGATCTCCTCCACCCTGCTACTGTCAGTAATCATTCTTGAAATTGCCTGTCTTTTTATATTAATATACCTACCAATAATATCACAAAAAGATCATGGTGGTCTGACTTGATGTCACGACTAAAAGCGACAGTGTGGAGGCATAAATCCCACTAGAAACATGAATGAAAATAAAGCTCGGGATGATGGAAGGTGTGAATTGAATCACTTGTGCATGCATGAAAATTAAGGTCTAATCGGTGGACTATTTGCGTGACTCACGATTTACCTCTAATGTGGCTCCAAGAATGAGATCTTGTGGGCATTAATCTCACAAAGTTGCTTCTGTGCTTGCTATTAAGAATATGGCATACCAACGATTCACTTACTTACGGGCTTACTGGAATGATGAAAGGGAAAGGTATTCGGAGTTCTTCACCCCGACAGAGAAAAGTCCTTACTTTGACTTAGACTGACCCGAATCAAGTCAAGGCGATGCAGCAGGCTCAAGGCCCATCTTCTTAATTTAGTTCTCTCTTTTCAAGTCAAGAATGTGCCAACCGAGGCCATTGAATTCGCTGCAGTGCAAATATCATCATAGTTGAAGAATAAGTTCTTCTTTTTACTGAATCAACTACTAATCACATGTTTGGAATCGATCTAGCTGATTATCCGGTCGTTTAATAAGCCCGAAAGCAAGAGAAAAGAAGGTTTCCTTTACCACGGGAACTGCAGTAGCGGAACTAGCACGACGAACAATGCTCGACACTCTGTCAAGCGAGCCCCTCTAATTATCTAGAAGCCCCTTTCCCCTATATAAGCATTATAGCTCAGTACCCTTTCACCGTCTTCTCACGCACCCTTACAAAAGAGTAAATACCCAAAATGGTCCCTCGACTATAGCTAAATTCACAAATTGGTCATCGACTTTCAATTTCAACCAATTAAGTTCTTAACTTTGTAATTTTAACACAATTTGGTCCTCTGTCTATTTGACCGTTTGTTGACTGTGATTTTTGAGGATATATATGTAATTTCATGGCCCATTGTTGGTTTTTTAAGGTTCTGGTTGCATTTTCAGACCGCACTGTTACATTTGAATCCACTGCCGAAAGCAATCTACCAAATTCGGTTGTCTTTCTTCATCCTCCCTTTTTGGATTCAATGTAGTTGAGTTCGTACCAGAGCGAAGAAGACGACGTGTTTCCGAACCAGTGCAACGTCATCCTGGAGGCCTCCACGTGCTCCGACGAGAGCTGAAGGTTCTTCTGGTCGATCTCGGTCAACAAACGGTCAAATAGATGGAGGACCAAATTGTGTTAAAATTACAAAGTTAAGGACTTAATTGGTTGAAATTGAAAGTCGATGATCAATTTGTGAATTTAGCTATAGTCGAGGGACCATTTTGGGTATTTACTCCTTACAAAACAATTACTGCGACTTTGCGAGAGCCTTTAGAATGGAAGCCCTTATCATCCACTTTCTTATTCAATATTGAAGCTGTGTAAGCTCATTCAGTGGTTCACTTGTGACGGATTCTTAGTTGATAAGAGGATGTCTTCTTTTCACTCAAGTTTTACCAAACAAAGTTGATAAGAGGATGTCTTCTTTTCACTCAAGTTTTACCAAACAAAATGAGGTCATCGGCAAAGAAGCAATGAGACAGTCGTTGGCCTCCTCACCCGACTTGACCTCTATGGCTATTCTGTGTAATGGCTTGATTCTTGATTCATTCCGGGCAGGAGGGAAAAAGGTGACTTCAAGGCTGTTAGTGCTAAAAAATTTCTTTCTTATTCTCAAGAGCTCACCTCTCCCATGTCTAGGAATCTACTCTTTCATGGCGCCACCTTTCCATGGAGTATACAAACTAAATTTTGAAAAAGTTTGGAAAGAAAAGTAGACAGAACGACACCTATGAACTCGGATAGCATTGTGGCATACCTTTTCAACTGAACTAGGCTACTTTCTTTCTTCTCTTATGAAATATTTAGGATCACCTAAGTATTTTAAAAAAAAAAAAAAAAAAAAAAAATTACTCCCCGCAAAAGACTTCACTTATTGATGCTATCAGTTTCCATTACAAAACACATTCAACAAGGACAACTGTAAGCAAAAAAAGGTTACAAACAAACATTAAACAGTAAACAGAAAGGCTAATTTTGGCTATCATGCTTCTCTTGTTAAGTCCTGGTATCATGACTCTGTATCACCAGAATAGGATCTGCCTCTTTGGAGCTGGTGCATATGGGGAGGCAAAGGAGGAGGAGGAGGGAGAGGCATAGGTTGTGGTGCCAGAACAGTCTTCCCATCCACCGAATATCCACCCTGTCCGGTTTCTAATCCTTTGTTGGCCGACGAAGAAGAGGCAGGAGGCATATTTGGAGGCAATCCTGCAGAATTTCCTTGAAAGAATGCGTTTCTTCCTTGAGGATCAGGTGCATTCATGAAACCATCCATAAATCCATGAACTGCAGTAGAATCAAAAGGCCCAACAGCCTGCCCCATATTCCATGGCCGAGGGTAAGCTTCTGCAAAATTTGCAGCCCCTGCAGGACCAGGTGGAAAACCCAGTAATGATCCTTGCTCGGATCCAACTTCTGCTGCTGAGTCTGGCCTTCGCATATCATACGGGGCGCCATAATATTGTTGGGCTCCATCAGGTACAAAATGAGGGTAACCAAATTGAGGGGGGGCCAAAACTGGATTTGGATTAACAGGCATAAAACCATGAGGTTGAGGAACATTAATAGGGTATTCAGGAAAAGGAGATGCTCCAACAACTCCTTGTTGCTTGTCTTGAAATTGGCCCGGTTCTTGCCTCATCCCACCCTGCGTCTCAAAAGTCTGCTGAGGAAACTGATTCTGGAGTCCAGACCTCTCAAAACCGGGGGGAGGATTACTATCACCCTGATTCTCTGTTTGATGACTTTGAATTTGCCCAGCAGAAGGTTGTGTGAGCTTTGATGGCAGATGGCTAGCTTTGTCTTCGCGATCATGAACCTGGGAACCTGGACTAGGAGAGAAGGCAGACCTAGGGGGTGCTTGAACAGACGAATCTGAGGCTGCAGGTTTTCTAGCATTGGCAGTGTCTGACACATTTCCTTCTTTTTCTGCATTTGGATGGAGGAGGTCAGCATGGTTTCCATGAATATGAGCCTCAAACTCATTCTTCTTTATGAACGACTTAAGACAGTGAGGAGCTGCACAGATGAAAATCCCTTCCATCAATTTTATTGTCTGTATCTTCTGAATGCGTTCATCACAGCTGTAAAAAAAAAAAAAAAAAAAAAAAAAAAAAAAAAAAAAAAAAAAAAAACATTACAATAAAGGTAGCTTAATTTCCATACTTATTCTCTCAGTAGTGCAAAATAAAGCAGTGGATAACAGTCTCAAAGGGAGGATTACATCTTTCCAGTAATTCTCCATTAAAATGTAGCCTTGTTCAGTTTCACAGGCCTTGTACTCCACACTCACTCTCACAATAATGAAAACAGGTCAAGAGGGAATAAATAACCGTCAAATAATAAAATATGGAAATGGAGCTTACAGGTAGCAGAGAGAATCACTCCTTGCACAATCCAAACAGAATGCATGCTCACATGGGCTCTGCAAAAGACGATCTTAGTTAGAAATTCATAGTTTTAATGCAATTGGGGCAAGGAGAGAATTGACACTTCCCTCCATGAGCAATGGAAAAAGGAGAGTCTTGATCAAAACGCAGAAAGAAAAACAAGTATGCTTTTATTTAACGCACCAGACGCCCATAAATAGCAATAGGGAAATCGCAACGAACACAAAAATGCACTCGCTCCCCAAGCTGACGACGGGATTTGCGGCCAACAGCTTTTGAAATGGATGCAGTACTTGCCAAACCAAGGCTCTTAGCTACAGGAAGATCAGCTAAGACAAGGTGATCAGGGCATGCAACAGTAATGCTATCTACGGGTAAGGGCTTTGCAGGACCCCCACTTTCACTGGATGGCTTTCTGAGCTTAATCTGAAGCATCTCTTCCAATATTTCTTTCCTCCCTAAACAACCAATCTGAGTTCTTCAACTTAAATAATGTTTTTCAAAAAATTCTGCAGAGGTTCAATAAGGAATTTCAGCTACTTCCTCAGATAAACAAACCAAACCAATATCATTCTTTCTACCCTATCTCAATTCAAAGAATTATATCAAAAGGAAATATAGTATGCTAGCAGATAACCAAGACTCAGAATTTTCCACTGTGATTTTAAGTATATGTTATTGAAAATAGAAAGAAAGAAAAAAGGGAACCCTAACCTATTGGGAAATCATTAAATTAACCGTAAAGCATTATCTTTCTTCAAATGTTCGCACATTTTGAACAGCTAAACAATCTTCCAAAACATACATATAAAAAAATTGTACTAGATCTTCAAAAGAATCTGAAACCTACCACTAAAGGGCGTTCTTTCTAATGAATGAAAAAAACTAAATCAGTTCCTATTTTTATTCTTTTAACAACGCCACTCTTTAATTCAGATGCAAATTAATCTTTCAAATTTATTTTCTAAGGGTTTAAAAAATTCAAACTTGACATTTACGTGTTGTTTCTTCGAATCGCAAAAAAGAGGCCGCCCAGAAGAATTAATATAGAAATGTCGATTACGAATAAAACCCTAATTTAGTTTCATCGCAGAATCAAAACAAGATTGAATCTTACCAGAATCCAGAACCCTTTCACCTTCGCGCTCTTCAGTTAAACCCTTGTTGGAGAAAATATAAAAAATAATACTCCGTGAATGGGTACTTTTATATGGTCCAGTTTGGACCCAAGGTTTGCAAATGGATATTATTTCTGGATAATTGTTTTTCCGTTAGGAATGGAAATAAGCCAAGTCTAGCCAAGCTTTAACAAATTAGGCTTGGGACTCGTATGAAAACCTAAGGCCTGAGCCTGGGCCCATTAGTAGGATTTTTTTAAGGCTCAAACCTGAGTCTACAATAAGTCTGCCCTGTCTTGGCCAAAAGCCTTTTTAAAAGATTATTTAATATGTAGGCCATTAAAAAGGCTTCGACGACAACATATTGTAGGCTTTGCCTTTTAAAGGATACATATTTGTTTTAAAAAAAGCCCTAAACGGCTAAACCTAAACCTAATACTATAACAAGTCATCAATAAAACATATTCTATAACATGATAACTAGTCCAATACTTCACATGAAAACCAACCAATAACCACAAATCCATAAAATCCAAAATATAAAAATCTAAGTTCAATACAATGTCTAGAATCAAAACCAAAAGGCAGCAACATCATTTCTAAAACATAATCCCACAAAATCCTCCAAACATATATGCAGAATTGCCAGAAAAAACAAATGAACAAGTCAAAAGCATCCCACCAGCAACATCACCCATTCACCCCCAGTAAAGCCTCTAAGATAATGCAACTCGGTAACGCAGCATAGCATGCCTGACAGCCATCCTATATGGACAACACTCTGCTTTTGAATCTTATCTCTTCTAAAACCATTTATATTCTGGGCATTGTTAAATTAAGTCAAGAAGGCACAAAAAATTGCCATCAAATAGTTTTTCATTCAAAGATATCAAGAGTCTACAAATATGCAATTTTGCAGTACATCAAATCATCAACATCACACACAAATAGAGAAACTATCTACTAATCTAGGAAGGACAAAAAAAACACAAATCCATGCTGAAAATACACTTAGAATATACACAAATTCGTAGGCCGCAACCCACGGAGGGAGCAGGAGGTCGCAGTTCACCGCCATAGACGCAGGCCGCAACCACAGCGGGAGGCTGCGGCGGTGAGTCGCAACCAGCAGTGACATTCGAAGGTCGAAATTTTGGCAGGAATGGCAGCAGGAAATTTAAATAGACATAAGGATAAAGAAAGTAGAAGAGAAGACCAACCTCAGCTAGCCGTCCGACCGTCGTCACTCCACCGCTGTTCTGCAGTCCGCCATCTCCATAAAACTACAGCAACGTCGCAAGAAAACGTCAATTGTGAAAATTAGGAGAATAGGGTTAGTGATTTGGGGCTAAAATATAAATAAATAAATAAATAAATAAATAAAATATATAAGTATATATTATAAACTTTTGAAATTTGTAATATGAGTTAATTTCACTAAAGGTCTCATATTTTTTGTGGTAATCGTAAATTTAATCTTAAATTATATATATATATATATATATATATATATATATATAGAGAGAGAGAGAGAGTCAGGTTCCTGTGAGGTCAGGTCTTCCCGTGCGGTCAGTGCGGCATACACCATTAGGTATGCATAAATGAACCACACGTGTTCGTAAATACACCATTATTTGTGGTGTATTTTTTTTTTGTGGTATATTTTTTGGCATTTCATTCTGGTGTATTTTCGAACACTGTATGGTGCATTTATATATACCTAATGGTGTATGCCGCACTGACCACACGGGAAGACCTGACCTCACAGGAACCAAAATCTATATATATATATATATATATATATATATATATATATATATATATATATATATATATATATATAGAGAGAGAGAGAGAGAGAGAGAGTGAATTGATTTCATTTTTTTTATCCTAGATTTATGTGTCAGTCTATTTTTAGTCATTATTTTTCAAACATTCCCGTTTTCATAACAAATTCTCATATGAGAGTTAAAGAACTGCATAATTAATACAAAGAAAATTTTCATGATTTTTTGATTTCATGAAGTTTTTGCTGCATAAACCTGATTTTAATCTACATAAAGATTGGCACGGAGCAACATAGTCAACATTATATAGAACAAAAATACTTACTCCACTAAAATCGATGTTACTATCGAACTCATTCAAGCTTGAAATTGATTCTTTGATTCTGAAGTCACCAACTGCATCTAATTTGCCAGCATCTACTGTGACTTCATCAACCTTGTGAAGTATTAAAGCAAACGTAGGAGATGAGAAAGTGGCAGCAGTTGGTTGAGTCTCGCCATCCAAGATCTTTGATTCATAAGACATTTAATTGGCCCATACTGCTTGCCTCTTCCGACTGATTCCATCACAATAAGTGGTGGCTCCTGGTTGGTTAATAAAAACAATGTGTCTAGTTCAATCCTTTCTGTTCTGTCAAATGCAAAAAGTTTAGTACAGTTGTTGTTTCATACAAACCAAATTTCACTATTGATTCCACTAGAGTCGGAGAATTTGTCGAGCATTCAAGTGTTTTTTTTTTTTTTTTTTGGCGAATCAGATTGAAGGTAGTGTGCATCATTGGCTCTCTTTAACTTAGTCCTCTTCCGGATATAAGTGAAAGAGATACACCGATGATATGGTTTTGCCCCTTCTCTATCACTTCTTTTAGTATATTTTCAGCATTCAATTGTACAAGTAATGCATACTCATTCAGGCCCGCATGGGTAGCTCAACTGGTCATAGAGGTGAAACTTTGGAAGAATGACCAGCGATCAAGTCTGGTAGTGTGGGAGCAACCTCTCAAAGTGAGGGGGGCTCCTTGTGCGCAGTGAGCACTGTTTTAGCCTTTATGGTTCATGTTCAGTTGAGTCACAAACCATGTTTGGGGTTCAACCTTTTTTTTTGGAAGAATGCATACTCATTTAGTCATTGTTGTGACGCTATATATGTTTGCAACTCATACAACAAAGCTACAACCTTTAAATCCAATATAATTATTAAATGGAAACAACACCAAAAGTAACAATAATATTGTTGATCTATTTTGGATTCAAATTTGTTCTTCTTTTGCAAACTTGCACCAAAAAAAAAAAAAAAAAAAAAAAAAAAAAAAAAAGATGACAAGCAATGAAGACGAAGACAATGACAAATATATCCAAAAGCGAATTAAAAAAATTGAGAGTAATTCCAACTAAAAGTAGTATCTACTACTTAATACCATACTAACTACAATAAATATTTAGATAATTGTTTTTAGAAAAGTCCAAACATTAATTTTAATGCCAACTATAATGAATTTCTCCTATATAATCTTGCATTGATATACTTTGAATTACTTATTCAAATACAAACATTAGACATTAAATCAATCGCGCAATGTGAGTGTAAAAACTAGTGTATATATATAGAGTTAATTCAATTTTTTATCCTAGATTTATGTGTCAGACCACCTTTAGTCTTTTTTTTTTTTTTTTTTTTTCAAAACATCCATATTTTGTTCTAGTATTATTGTGACATAATCATTTTTTGTCATTCGTTAATAAAATTGTTTGAATGACATTAAATACAATGACATTTTACTATTTATTATTATTATTATTATTATTATTATTATTATTATTATTATTATTATTATTATTATTATTATTATTATTGTGGTGGTGGTGGTGAATTACAAAGATGAGTGAAATCAAAAAGAAAAAAAATATTATTATTGTTGTTACAGAAACAGGAAAACAAAAAAAGGGTAAAGCGATAACAACAAGAGAGATATAAATGTTATAAATAATAAGGATAAAATGGTCATTTCATAGTGAAGGTCAATCTACTAACCAAAAATGCTAGTCTCCAATAAAATAATGTAATAAGTCATTTTATCAAACACTTAAAATAGCTTGTTGACTAGTCAAATCAGTCAAAATTAATTGATCAGCTATGTTACCAAACATGTCGTACTATGTGCATAGAAACATTATAAAGCAATTTTCTTAACTATACAAAAACAAACTTTAAATTATATACTGCCAATATCATACGGATAAAATAATATTATTAAAATTATATACCATATTAAAAAAAAATTAGGTGATACCACATAAATAATTATAATATTTTTTCCTTTATTATACAATATATATATATATATATATATATATATATATATATATATATATATATAATTAGAGTTATGTATCAGATAAAAATGTTCTAAGTAGCCTATAGCTCGCTCAGTTGGTTTGACCGATCATCTTAAAACCTTACTCTAGCAACACTGAAAGGCAAAGGGTGTGAACCTAGAGAATGACTTATAAATTAGGAAACCTAATATATCAAAAATAAATTCTAAGTATTTATGTGGTATCACATAAAATTAATTTATATGGTATATAATTTTAATTATATTATATTTATGAGAAAATTTCAATTTTGGTCTACTGACTATTGGAGTTGTGTTAATTGCAACACTTGACTTTCAAAAATGTTAATTTAGTACCTTGACTATGTAATTTGACAATTTCTATCAATTTTGGTCACGCTGGCTAAATTGACGGCCAAATCTCACCGGAAATATTTAATAGGTTAAATAACAAGGGTATTTTAGTCATTTTATCCAACTTTTCTTTCTTCTCCGATGAGCCCATTTCTGGCAGACAATTTTTTCTCCGATAAGCTTCTCGCTATACGCAAACTTGTAATTCTTCCCTTCACGAGCGCAGTTTTGGAAATAGAGGAACCGTGGGTCCCACACCGGTTAATGCAAAACCCATCGACGGTAACATCCGCGGCAGTCATGACGACGTTGACGGCGTCTTTTCCCTCGCCCTTTCCGGCCAGGTCAACGATCCGCTTCTGGGTCAACGATTTCCCCAACGAGTAGCTCTCGTCGAGGACCTGCTTGTTCAAATACGTCGACAAATGATTTTTGGAGCTGGCTAAGTGGTAGTATTTCTCGGTGATCTTCCACCAGGAGGAGACGGAGGGGTGGGGTTTGGGGGCGGCGGAGAGATAGGATACGAAATCGGCGATTATAGCTCTCTGGGCTGGCTTGAATTTTCCGTACCAGATGAGATTTACAGAGATTTTGCGGCGAGCAATGGGCCCTTGTGGTACTGGAGAAACTGATAAACCATTTGCGAAGAGATGATGCGCAGCCGCTAGAGTTTATGTTATCAAAATTATCAAATTGATTACCTCTATTTGAATATTTAAAAACAAATTTCAAAAGAGAAAAGTCTGCTTTCTAGTGTAGTGATTTTCTTTTGAATTCATGGCCTAAGTTGAGAGCAAGGAAATGGAGAACAACGTAGTTGGAAATGGAGAAGAACGTCGTCGGAAATGGAGAAGAACGTCGGAGAAGAAAGAAAATGGGTAAAATGACTAAAATATCCTCATTATTTGACCTATTAAATTTTTTTGGTGAGATTTGGCCGACAATTTGACCGGCGTGATCAAAATTGATAAAAATTGCATAGTCAAGGTACTAAATTAACATTTTTGAAAGTCAAGTGTTGCAATTAATACAACTCCAATAGTCAGTGGACCAAAATTGAAATTTTCTCCATATTTATCATTACAAATTTGGTAGCATATGATTTGGTTTTTGTATAACTAAGGAACTTATTTTATGACATTTTCTTTCTTTTATTAATATTTTAACTTATAGCTTAAGTTGTGATTTAGTTTAATGGATTGTATTGAAAGTTAAAATTAGTCATTGTTATACAAAAAATGGCACAAGTACAATTCTGGTTAGTGACAATTTAATTTTTTTTTTTTTAAAAAAAAAAAAACCAAATTTTTTTTTTTTTTTTTTTTTTTGTTTGTTTGTTTGCGGTTTTTTTTTTTTTTTTTTTTTTGTGGATTGCTTGGCCATTTGCATAAGTTTTGCTAGCTAGCTAGGGAAGCCGCGTTGCCGGTAAAAGAACCAACATATGCTTCGACACTGGAGGGACCCAACTTCGTTGGCTGAGTTTCAACGTCTTGAAGCACAACTGTGCTTGCTTGAGACCCAGGAGGATACCTTTTGGAGGCAGCGTGCAAAGCAACATTGGCTAAAGGGAGCGGATGCCAATACAAAATTCTATCACAGGTATGCTTCTACCTGTAAAAATAAGAATATGATTACCAAGTTGAAAAATGATGTTGGGGGTGGGTAGATGAGGATGCTATGAAGTCCGTTGTATTGAATTACTTTAATGGTATTTTCTGTTCTAGTAATTCTAATAGTGAGGATCCTCTATTTGATTCTGTGGCCCCTCGTATCTCCCCTAGTCAAAATGCATGCTTGCTCAATCCTTTTGGGGTTGACGAGGTTAAATCAGTTGTGTTTTCTATGTTCCCTGATAAGGCACT